TTTCCAGTTTTAATTTCTGCAGGAAAAAATGGTAATTATACCAGTACACAGGCATTCTTTACCCTTGCCTTAGTCATCAGCTCATCTTTGAGGAAGGTAATATATTAACGCCTTAACCAACAGTACAATACTGGCAAGGAAATGTATAGTGAAATTTATCATTATAATTTTAATTTGCACATCATTGATGCACATGAGAGTTGATTTCTTCAGGATATTGTTAGAGGCTGAGATTTTCAGCTTCTCATAACTTCCCTTTGTGTTGGTGCAATGAATTGAAGATGCTGTAAGACACTGGTGCCCAAGTCATCTGCTCCCACGCCACCGAATTTTGAGACCCATGGGGAGCCTTGTGTGCCAAATGACAGGGCTCCACAGGCTGGATCCAGACCATAGGCCATATCTTGGGCACCCTTGCTTTAAGACAACAGCTTTCGTACCCTAGATAGTGTGGGGAAGCCATAATGTATATTGGTTCCTCCCACTGATGTAGGGGCCAGGTAAGAAGGAGCACTGGTGCACAAAGTGTTTTCAAATTCTGGTCAGCACAGTAGCTCCTTGTGAAATGCTATGTGTCAAGCCAAGTTAAAACAGCATATTCAATCCCTGACAATCTCCCGAACAGAGGTTGCAGAAAAAGGAAGAGCTCTGGTACCCCTGGGGAATCTGGTTCATAGTATTTTATATGTAGTATTCACAAAAGGTGACAAATGAATACGATCTATTAGGTAATCCTGCTCCCAGTGCAGGACTGTTCCATATAAAATACTCTTAGGGTGTCTCTACATGTTGCCCTATGGTGATGTAGCAATATGCTATGTTGCCTTATGGTGCACTACAGTGATATAGCGATCATGTGGGTTTACACATGATTGGCAGCTACTTCGAAAAGGGAAGTACTAAAGCATGGTGCCATAGCAACATCGCTGTATGGTGATGTGTAGATGTACCCTTAGTCTCATATTAAATATTCCAAACTGGGGTTTTTTCCACCATTTCCCTTGAGCTATTTAGTCTATTAAATCTTACTATCAGAAGTTTTTCCCATGTTCCACCGTAATCTTTTCCCCCTTATTAATTTTTAATTTGAATTGTTTTTTACATATATTTTTTAATGCCAGGTACTATTGAAAACTTAAAGAGAGCTGTGTAAACATCTTCATGAGACTAAACAAAACTGACTACTGGATCAAATTATCTAGAAAGCTGACAACCTCCTCTCTTCCATTCCCACCAAAATTCTGTTACCATCCCATCCCATCCCATCCCACTGCTTTCAGTAATATCAGCTGAATTCATTGGCATCTGAAGGCAGGATTTGACTCCCATTTTTCTCAGCTGATAATGTATTGTACACACCATTTTGAATTTAATTTTGTAAGTAAAGTACATATAATTGTGCTAGGTGAGATTCATTAACTAGATAATTAAAATAAATAAGATCCTTAAATATGTATTTTAAATGATGAGCCTCTTTGCTGTGCAGTCTGGAAGGTCTCTGCAAACCATAGTGCAATTACATTCAGCTACATTACATAATCATGTTAGCTGCATCTTTCTAATCAACTTCCTGCTTTTCTGTCTGCAGATAGGTTTTTATAGGTCCAGTCCAACCAACTGCTGAAATTGTGCTAGGTGAGATTTTTGACCTGTATCTCTAAGACCCCAAAGGTGGTTTTAAACTACCTTTGTCCTTCTGGTCCTGGGCTATTCTGGGGATGGAGTGGCCTCCAGCAAAACCCTGGAAACCTAGTATATTTAAGCTATGGAAGTCTCACTGGCATGTCCCATAGGCTACCCATCATTCACACATATCTAAATGCTCCTGTGCTGCATTCAACCCATAATAAAATACTTACATCACAGCTCCCAAGGAGTTCTCAGAGGACAGTATTGTATCTATTTTTGGCAGCTTTTTTGCCTGGAGAAAATTTTTCCCCACTGGATTTGAGATTTTTTGGGACCCTTTATGCTCTTCAGCTATTGTATTGAACAGTAAGGCAGCAAAGTGAGGATGAAGATCTTACCTACTATGTCTAAACAGTGACAGAGATTTAGCATTGTTTCTTTGAGTTGTGGGAAGAGGGGTTTTCCCATTTAGAACCGTGTTTTAGATTTAAAAAAAATCATGCTATAGCTATATAAGAATCAGGAGAGAGAGATCAAGGATACATGATGGTGTGTTTATAAAGTTTTATCATCCTGAGCATACTTTTCTTGTGTGTGGGAAACCATGTCTGACTTATGCTTATCATCCCTAGCTGTACCATCGTGTATTCTTTACCTGCACTATATAATATAGAAAAGTTATTACATGAGAATAGGCTAGAGGCAGGATGACTCTGGAGCCCAGTGAAAAGGGTTATCTCCTGCAGAGTTGTATTGCGGGGGAGGGATGGGGGGGAGGGGAGAAGAAAATTGGGAATTTTATTCTGGATCAGGGCACCCCCAGCACAGTGCCCTATCACTGGGCTAGAGTATCAGGCTCCCTCTTGCTTGCTGTCCATTCTGCCCACTGGCCTATCTTCAGCATGAATAGTGAACAATACCCTAGTCTTACCCAGCCCACTCTATAGCCTAATGGCTAGAGCACTCTCCTGGGAGCTAGGAATATGGTTTTAAATTCCATCTGAGTAATGGGACCCTATAATCCAGGTCTCCCACTTCCTGGCTAAGTGCTATAAACACTGGACTATTGTAACAAAGGTGCATTGCAATGCCTAAGAGTAGCTTATGAGAGCAATTTGGATCTGACCCTAAAACTTGTAGAGTTTTACATAAACATGTTAAACCCATTCTTTATCCTCTGATCAGGACATTCTCCCTTGCTTTCTTTCAGTTCAGGCCCACTGGCTGGTCATAACACTTCCCCCTTTTCTCCTCACTTTGTGGAAAAACAGTTCAGGAATTTGTTCCATTCTTCTGTTAAATCTGCTTTCTTCTTTATTATCGTGAGATCCCAAAAGCCTGTCCATCCTCTCCTACAGTGTACATGCTGTTTCTGAGTATCTTGAATCCTTGTATTATCTTATTTTCTCTTCTGTAGACTAAATCACGTGCACTTAGCTTCCTCTTTACACATCTTCATGCTGAAATGATAATACAGCTTTTTAAAAAGCTGAATGTTTTCACTTGAAATTCTCTGTTTCCTCAAAATGCCTCACATTTCCCTTGGATCTATTGGAACAGCAAAGAAGGCTCTTTCAGGTCTTTGTTTTTGTCTACAACAGTATTGTCTATACTAATACAAAGACACCTGAAATCTTGTTAAACTACAATATTGACTGTTTGTTGCTTATGGTAATAAAGAGAAACTCATTTCATTTCGAACTTTTTTCAGTGACACCAGCTTTTAATGCACAACATGGGCCCATAACTACTTTCATTATCTCATACTGTGTGTGTCTACATGTGCAAATGCTCCGGGGTGGGTTTACTGTAGAGCAGGGTGGGCAAAATGGCAGATCTGGCCAGTGGCCAGACTCCATTTCCCAGCAGCCCCTGACAATGTGGCTGGAGCTGGTTTCCAAGGAGACCCAGCAGCAGCCACGCTATGATAGCATGAGGCTGGGGTTTCCATGGCCCCAGCAGTGATGGCAGGGCAATGGCAGAGTGCGGAGCTGCTCTGGACCCGTGTTGGGATCTTGGGCAGTGACCGCATGGTCCAGAGCCAGGGCAGAGCCATGATCTGCAGCCTCATGCCGTGGGCAGAGATGTATAGGCAGTGGATCATGGCTCTGCCCCGGCTCTTTGCAGCAGTGACTGTGTGGTCCGGAGCTGGGGCAGAGCCATGATCTGTTGCCTGCACGCCCCTGCCCCAGGCATGCAGGCTGCAGATTATGGCTCTGCCCTGGCTCTGGGCCATACTGTCACTGCTGCAAAATCCCAGCCGGGCCCTGGAGCAGCTCCCCACTCTGTTGTATACCCTGCCAGCAGGGATGGCACTAGAGGGGGACTTGGGGGGGCTACAGCCACCCCAAAATTCCCCATAGCCTCCCATAGCCACCCCTCCCAGTAGTGCCACTGCCTGTCTTGCACAGGTGATGGCAGCTGAGCCTACTCTGCTCCCGCCTACAGCACAGCCCCCACACCAGGAAGAGGCTGGTGCGCTGCTGGGGCTGGTCTCCACGGAAACCCTGGCCCTGTGTTATCAGTGTGGCTGCTGCTGGGGTCTCCATGGAAACCTGCCCCAGCTACACATGCAGGGGCTGCTGGGAAATAGAGTCCACTGCTGGCTGGTAATTTACTCTAGAGTAAGCCCACCCCAAGCAGGTGTCTAGACTTGTGGAGAAGCAGACGCAGATTTGTTGCTCATGGCAGCATTCTGCTCCCACCCCGCACTGGTCCTGCACTGACCCCCAGCAGCAGCCAGGGGGAGCTCCCTTGATTCGGGAAGATAATCTCCCAGCCCATGCTCCTTGATGGCAGGCAGCTCCTGGGGGTGGGGAACAATCTCCTGCCCCCTGCTGCCCAGCTGACCGGGAGCACATTTGCTCCCAGTCAGCCATCTACATGTGCCATACTGTGCAGTAATTACTCCCAAGTAAATATGCTAGTTGTATTTACAGGTAGCAAATTTACTCATGATTAGAGCAAATCAGTGCACAGTAAGCATCTGCATATGTAGATGGTGATGCTTACTGTGCAATAATTTGCTCTTATCTTGAGTAAAGCATCTCATGTAGATGCACCCACTGTTAACTTACATCATGAACACAGCTAAAATATGAGCTATACCTACTGTTCAGATCCAGTGAGAGCCATTTAGAGTGACAGATGAAACGAACAATAATCTACATATGATCCTGCAGAAGGAACCAGAGGGCCCCAAACCGGACTGTAGTATCTAGTTACTGTGTAATCATGCCTTACACTTTTTACCATTACAATGCACTGGGAGCACTATAGACAACTTTCTAGTCATGCAGTTTCTGATACTGCAGAACATCTTTTTCTAATTGCCTCATAAGAGAATGTCATTTGCATTCCTCATTCAGAAATTATGTCACACTGCTTGGTGCTTGCATAGAAATGCTGTTTTCACAGGAGACACTTCCACAGACTTCTGAACTGTCAGTTCCATCCCTTATGATTATCTCTTGTGTTGCTCTGAATGTTAATGGAACAAAACCTTCACTATCTGCAGTGAGAACAATCCAAGAAGAACCTGTAAAGAAATTAAGCATTGAAGAAAATAAATGCATTAAGGTATTACATAAAATGTGCACACATTTAAAAACATATTATCCAACACTCAAGCATAGCCATTTTTCTTTTCGAGCTGACCAAAATCCAGATGTGGCAGTCCATCATAGATGCAGCTTCCCCAGTGGTACCACCATGGAAGTTGTGAAAGGGTTCAGGAATTTCTAAATTTTATTATCTAACTCCAGTCAGTAATGATGAATAACAAATCCAGTATTCAGTGGTGTGGATGAACCATAAACATCCTCACCCTCCTCAATGCATAGGGTAACATACGATCCCTTCTTGGTCATCTCAGTGCCTGCTTTCCAGTTGTCTGAATGGCATTTTTGGCACTTACATGCAGATGGAAAATCTATTCCTAGTCATGTAGACAACTGTGGACAGGCACAGACTGGGCATGCACAGTTGTCTATGCACTGGCTGTGTATGTAGTGGGGACACTTCTGTGTGCTCTTGTGGATACATGGTAGCTTTAGATTTCTGAAAATGTAGTCAAGTAAAACCCTTTACTTAAAGAATGAAGGAAACCTGGGTTTTAGGCCCCTCTTACCCAAAGGTGGTTTGAATCTGAGTATCACTGACTTCCCAGCACATGACTCAAAGCACCATGCTACAGAACAGCCATTATCCATTTCTGGTGCTGCTTTCAAAGCTGGGAAAAATGAGCAGAGGAGGCACAAGCTTCTGTCCTACTGGGAGCAAGGACCCAGGCTAGAACCCACCAGCCCTGGGTCATGCTGGCTTGCTCTCTTTCTCCTGGCCTTACATATCTCCCATATACCTCTCTCAGCTGCCCTGGAGGCTAGCCTGAAAAATCACACCAGAGAAGCAAATGGGCAATGCCTAATCTGTGGTAGAGTAGTTAGAGTTGTGTGCTTGGAAATCTGAGACACTCAGGTTTGAACTACCTTCTGAGCACAGGCAGCCTAGAGCCCAGGTGCCCCAGCTTCCCAGGAAAGTATCCCAGCCCCTTAGTTTTTGTGGCCAAAACAGAACAGGTCTCTTTCTCTCTATCTGTTGCCTGTGTGCTTGCCCAGTCTACATACGCAAAGCTACATGGCCAGGAATAAAGTTCCTACCTACATATCATGTACCTGCCTGCCCTGGTTATACTTGTCCTTGGGCTGAATAAAAATTTCCTCCTCCAGGGCTGTAAATCCAATACTTCTGAGCATCTCTAAATTCACATACCAAACAGAAATAAATTACTTTTTGAAGGTGATATCCAAAAGAAAACACATGTTCTGTTGTTGTCCTCTGATTTGTGGTACATAAGAAATCCTGAAGAGCCTTTATGGAAGTTGAGCAGCACCCCATTTAAAATACTAATCTATTGACTACAGTGCTTAACTCCTTGCACAGGGGCCAGGAAGCAGCCAGCCAGGGAGAGCCTAAGCCTGCCCTTATCTGCTTATCTCTTCACACTTACAAAAACATTTTTCTCTTAATTTGCAAGCTTTCAGGCACATGAGCCCTTCTTCAGGCATAGGAGAATGCAAAGATTGTAAAATTTCTCCCAAGTAGAAATGAAAATTCATATCACAGAAGATCGGTATAAGATCTCCTGGCTGGAAAAGTTGGTCTAATAAAAGATATTGCCTCTAGCATACAAACTACTTGTATTCTTAGACCAACATGGCTAAAACCTGTATCCTCAAAACATGGAAGATATTGTAATTAGCCATTTTGAAATGAAAACTTCATAATTTGACAAGAAGGAAGTAAAATACAACACCTTGAGACCTGGAAGCTGACACCCTTGCTCCAGCCTTTTGTTTCCAGACAAATTTGCATATTTGCAAACCATAGAAATTCCTTGCCCAGGAGAAACTTCCATCACCAATCCTCCTGTGAAATATTAAACATCATAACTAGCATGGGTGACTGGTGCCTCTCGAGTCTGGGGGGGCACCAGCTTGCCAATGAGGGGTGGGGAGGAGTGTTGCCCAGCAGCCTATCACCAACCAGGAGGGGGGGGTGTGGCTCCCAGTGGCCAATCGCTGAGCCCAGAACTGCCAGCAGCAAAACTGAAAGTGCGATTCCACCAGCACTTCTAGTTTCGTGCCTGGCACTTCCAGGGGGTGCACGGCCAATCTCGGGGTGCACGCGCACCCGCATGCACCCCCTACGCGTTGCCAATAATAATTAGAAAGAAGCATAATTCAACATCCTGCTTGCCATCAGACACCATTGACGTAAATGGACTGCTCCAACTTTTATCCAAGCCTATGCTGAATGAACTTTTCTAGCCAGGAGATCTTACACCACTGTCTTGTGAAATATGAATTTTCATAGATGCCTGGGTAGAAAGGGACCTCAACAGATCATTGAGTCTGACCCCCTGCTTAGGCAGGAAACAATGCTAGGGTCAGATGACCCCAGCCAGATGCCTATCCAGCCTTCTCTTAAAGACCCCCAAGGTAGGGGAGAGCACCACCTCCCTTGGAAATCCATTCCAAATTTTGGCCACCCTTACCATGAAGTTTTTCCTGATGTCTAGCCTAAATCTGCTCTCTGTCAGTTTGTGACCATTGTTCCTTCTTACCCCGAGAGGTGCCCTGGTGAACAGAGCATCTCCAATCCCTTGCTGCGTCCCCGTAATGAATTTGTAGGTGGCCACAAGATCACCTCTCAGCCTTCTTTTGCGGAGGCTGAAGAGGTCCAGGTCCCTTGGTCTTTCCTTGTAGGGCTCGTCCTGTAAGCCCCTAACCATATGAGTGGCCCTCCTCTGGATCCTCTTGAGCCTATCAACATCCTTCTTGAAGTACGGTGCCCAAAACTGGACGTAGTTCTCCAGTTGCGGTCTGACCAATGCCGCATACAGGGGAAGTATCACCTCCTTGGTTCTATTTGTCATGCATTTGCTGATGCATGATAAAGTGTGGTTGGCTTTGCTGATCGTTTTGTCACACTGATGACTCATGTTCATCTTGGAGTCCACTATGACTCCGAGATCCCTTTCCACTTCCATGCTGCTGAAAGGCTCACTTCCTAGCGAGTAGGTGTGCTGGATATTTTTTGCCCTAGGTGCAGCACTCTGCATTTGTCCTTGTTGTACTGTATCCTATTGTATACTGCCCACTTTTCCAACCTGTCCAGGTCTGCCTGCATTTGTTCCCTACCCTCCGGAGTGTGCATTTCACCCCACAATTTAGTATCGGCCGCAAACTTGGACAGAGTACACTTCACACCCACATACAAGTCACTGATGAAGATATTGAAGAGTACAGGTCCAAGGACTGAACCCTGCGGGACCCTTCTACCCACATCCAGGTCGATACTGACTCGTCTACTACCACTCTCTGAGTGTGACCACTAAGCCAATTTGCCACCCACTGGACCATGTAAACATCTAAGTCACAGCCTCTTAATTTGTTTATGAGAATGGGATGAAATACTGTATTGAAGGCCTTCCTAAAATATAAGAAAACGATATCCACCTCTACTCCTGTGTCTAAGCGTTTTGTGACCCTGTTATAAAACAAAACCAGATTGGTTAGGCACGATCTACCTGCTACGAATCCGTGCTGGTTTCCCTGCTGCATTATTTTTCCTGCTGGACTCCCACAAATATGTTCCTTCATATTCTTTTCAAAGACCTTTCCAAGGATGGAGGTGAGACTGACTGGCCTATAATTACTCGGATCTTCCTTCCTCCCCTTCTTGAAAATAGGGACCACATTGGCCCTTTTCCAGTCCTCCGGGACCTGACCCGAGCACCACAAGTGCTCAAACAGCCGTGCCAGTGGTTCTGCTATGACACCAGCCAATTCCTTCAGTATTCCTAGATGCAGCTCATCCCTCCCTGCAAGTGTGGGCCAAATAGGTATACTCCTCCTTGGTAGCTTCCCCCTGCTTCCACCGCCTTTATGCCTTCTTTTTTGCCCTTAGGCTCCCCTGGATTTCCCTGTTTAGCCAAGGAAGTTTTTTGGCTCCTTTACCCCTTTTCCCTCATACTGGGATAGTCTCCCTCTGTGCTCGAAGGATCGGTTCCTTTAGGAACGACCACCCTTCCTGGACTCCCATCTCGCCAATACTCCTATCCTGCAGTGTGTCATTGACTAGATGCCTAAGCACACTGAAGTTAGCTTTCATAAAGTCAAGCACTTCCACCCTACTAGTTATCTTAGCCACCCTACGCTGTATGGTGAATTCAACTGATTTGTGGTCACTGTCCCCAAGGTGATCACGAATCTGCACCTCCCTTACCAGGTCCTCCCCCGTAGCCAACACCAAGTCCAGTAAGGCATTCCCCCTAGTGGGACCGTATATCTCCTGTGTTAGGTGAAGGTCCTGCATGCAGGTTAAGAAACTACATGAATGGTTGGATTTGGCTGACTGCTCCTTCTAGCAGATGTCAGGGTAGTTTAGGTCCCCCATGACAACCATGTCCCTAGACCATATGGCCTCTGAGGGCTGCCTCAAGAACTCCAAGTCTTGCAGACCCCCACCACCAAGTCCCTTTCCCGTCAACCTCCATGTATCCTAACCCACAATGCCTCAACATTCTCCTCCTCTGATCCCATTTTGATTAGGGTAGATGTATAATGCTCCTTTACATAAAGAGCCACCCCGCTCCCTTTCCTCCCTGCTCTGTCCCTTCTGTACAACCTGTAGCCCTCAATGTGTACCTCCCAGTCATGGGTAGGGTCCCACCAGGTTTCCGTTAGCCCCACTAAATCAAAGTTATTATCTGCAAGCAGAAGTGTGAGTTCTGCCTGCTGATTCCCCATGCTCCTAGCATTAGTATAGAGGCACTTGAGCCCTCCAAATGGTGCCTTTGGTGCCCCCCCGTTCTGATGCCCAAAGGCGCCCTTAGTACTTACATGGGATGTACTGTTGCATGTCTCGCAGTTTGTAGGTTCTAGACTCTCTCCATCTCCTGCCTTCCCGTCCCCTGTCAAACTTAGTATAAAGCCCAACGTAGGAGGTCAGCTAACGTGTAAGAAAGTCATTTCT